ACCCCTCTTTGTAATAAAAATAGGATTTCAAAAAAAAAAAAAAAATTGGGCATTTCGGTGCTTTGGAAGAATTACCGCGTAAGCGGTAGTCAGATTTTAGACTTTTACTCGTGTCCTTGAAAATTCAGGATTTCCTATCCTTGAGATTTTTGAGTATTTGACCAGTTGATCAGCTTTTACTTATCGTGGATCCATATTTGCCTGATGGTAGTTTCCATTCAAGAAATTCAAGTGAACACTCAACAATCCTAATCCAATTTCGATAACACAGTACTGGATGTCATTTTGTTGAATGCGACGTCCAAAGAAGACGAAGAACCTTTAGAAAAACCAGGGGATAATTCCAAAATCCTCCCCTAAGGTTTCTGACTATTTCACTGGTCTCCTTTTCAGATTTCAAAAATTACACTAACCTCCCTTAAGATTAATTATCTTGTAACATTTATACCCAATCAATAATTAAAAAATGATATTAGGAGAGAGAAAATAATGATTTCATCATTGTCCCTCATCTAGTACATTGTTTAATTAACTTAATACCAACCCACACAATAAAGAAAAACACTTATATTATTTCATATTCTTCACTTAATACAATATCCAAGTTACTCTTTTTCAGTTACATACCCATTGTCAAATATGATCAACAACAAATAATCAAAACATTGGCAACCAAAATATTACAGAGAACAAACTTTAACATCACAAATATTCTTGTCAATATATTAAGATTAATTATTGAGATTTTTATGGTATTAAAGTTCACTCTTTATAATATTTTGATTACAAATTTTTTTGATTATTTGTTATTGATCATGTTTGACAATGAATTTGTAATTGAGAATGACAAATTGAATCTTGCATTAAGTGAAATATATATAATGATATACCATTTTTAGTGCCATACATGATTTAATCCCTAATAATAAACAGCAAATTACAATGTTTTCTTTAATATTTGTACTGATATTAGATTAATTAAACAATTTAATGGATAAGGAGCAAGGATAGAATCATATTATTTTTTCTCTCCTAATATTACTTTTTAATTATTGGTTGGACTTAAATGTTACAAGATAATAAACTTTAAAAGAGGTTAGTGTAATTTTTAAAATTTGAAGGGAGGCCAGTGAAATAATTAGAAACCTCAGGAGAGGTTTTTGAAATTATCCCAAAAGACAGAAGTAACACCAAGAAGTTAACAAGAGTCAGAGACGATGGCTTTGATAACAGCATATTATACTCATGGCGCATTGCTTTTTCTGCTCTTCCAAATACAAAGCAAGCACCACAATGGAGACACTGGTCCCCTCATGATGACCAAATCCAGGTACATAACAACGCAATGAGTGTTTAACTTTGCTACGGGTGTAAATAATTGGCTCCGGCCAACCCCACTTTGTAGTTTGGTCGGATGAATTTCCCATCAGCAAAGCTCTTCCCCCCCAGGGGCAACAAGGAATCGTGCTTAGTAAAGAATTGGTCTTGAGAAGGATAGACGTGTTTCTTTAAAATTGGCTAGCCCATCATGCAGCAAGCGCAAAGCACTCTTTGCTTTAAAATTTGCAGAATACAAGCACGATAACAAGGTAAAATCATTTCTGCAAACCTGTTCTGCACACTCGTATAGTCGTCCAAGAAATTTGTTTTTCTTATCTTCTCGCTCTTAAAAATCCTGCTTGATAGCATTTTGAAGAATTACTGCAAAGGAAAAATTACCTCCATTCTAATGTGACCATCTTGGACTCTAGCACAAAAAAAAAAACAGACAATTACTTTGCATGTAGGCCTGCCAACGGGTCGGGTTTAGACCCGGATCCGGACCGGATCGGTGAAATTATTGCGGGTATGGGTAGGGATTTAATTCCGTTTCCAAGAACCGGATTCGGATCCGGATCCGTTTTGTCAAACAAAAAAACGAGTCGGATATGGAATATAGTATTCCGACCCGTATTCGGATATAAATGAATTAATAATTTAAAAAATATATATTTATCAATATAATTTGATTAGGGTGATGTATTTGAGTAAAGTCAATTTGATTTCTTTTTTTATTTGGTTTTTTCTTTGCATTAGTTAGAAATTAGTTTACAAATATATTTTTTTCTCATTTTTATTAGAAATTATAAATTTTGCTAAATTTGTTCGGGTAGACCCGACCCGAATCCGGGACCCACTGGATCCGGATCCGGAACATAGAATAAAAGACCCGTCGAATAAACGGGTCGGATCCGGGTCCGGTATAGTAATTCGGGTCCGGGTCCAGAATAATGAATTTCGGCCCGGACCCAACCCGTTGACAGCCCTAATATTCTGTTTGGAAATTTTTTTTTTAAATTGGACTGGCTGCCGGGCTTACAAGGCCCAGCAGCCAGCATTTTGCAGACTTTTGTCGGCTTTTCTGGTATATAATATTCTAATTGTGGTGTCCAAGTTGACGTTTTCGACGTCTGACGCCGGAGGGAAGTGGGAGAATCTATAGGATTTTGGTAGGGAAAGCAAGGGAAGGGCTCGCCCGGGTGGAATATGAAAGTAGGTGGTATAATTAAAACGTGGTGAATTAAATTTGTGGTTTCTCACTTGGAAAGGTACAAGGAAAGTCCGATCTCAGCCTCGTGCTTAGGGATGGCAGCGGGCACCCGCCCCGCGGGGGGCTAGTGGGGAGGGGGTTGGGACGGGGGCGGGGGCGGGGGGAATTTTTTCCCCCACTTAGAAACAGGGCAGGGGGCGGGGGACGGGGGCCGCCACCCGCTTTAAAAATATAAATATATAAAATATATATGTATATAATTATATATAATATATAATTTAATTAGTTACAAACTTATGATAATGATATTATTAGTTATATGTATTATATAATGTCTATTAGTATATATAATATAATTGATATTATTAATTATACTAATAATTATATATGTGTACTAATACAAATTATTAATTGGTTATACTAAATTTACTAATACATTTATACTAAATCCCTAATTACACTTAATACAATAACATTTTTTTTCTTAAAAAAAAGAACAAGCACAATAATGAATTAGTGATTGTATTTGTGCCAAAAGTGAAAACTTGACTACTTTAGTTATATTTATTTCATCATGTTGGATTGTATTCAAATAATTTTTATTTGATTATTTTTATAAGTTTCAATTGTAAAATTACAATGAATAATAATTTGATGATGTGTTGATATTTCAGTATTTGATTATTTGCTAAAATTTAACCATAATAAAATTATATAACAAATTTTTATTAGCGCCGTGGGGGCACCCGCGGGGGAAGCGGGGCGGGGCGGGGCGGGGACGGGGGTTGGGGCGGGGGCGGGAGGAGTTTGTAGGCAGCGGGACGGGAGATGGGGGAGGGATCCGGGGATGGGGGATGGGGCGGGGACGGGCCCCCATCCCCCGCCCCGTTGCCATCCCTACCCGTGCTTCACAATAAATAATTGGTTTATATTTTGGTTGGACCAGTATTTTTTTTCAAATTTTTTCTTGGGGCTTTGTGTCAAAGAAAAAGCAAGAAGGAAAAAGGATTGGTCTAAAATATTTATGCAGGACAAACTAAGTTTATTGTTGATTTGATCCATGTATTTATTGTCCGCCCTTTTGTGAAAAAGACTTGTTTAGCAAAAGGATTTAACACTAACATGTTTAACTTTTGGGCGTGCATTGAAAATACGAAATACTCGACACTCAATAAGGAGTACAAAGCCAAATAACAAGTGTTGTACCACATGCAAATATTGTTGTACGGCAGAGTGGGGGCTCATGAATCCACCCATACCTGACGTGTCACAGAGTCAGCAAAAACCAAAGCCAATTTCTCCGAATAAAAACTCAACCTATACAGTACCAATTTATACTCTGGTTATTATCATTTTACTCTCTTAACGTTTGATATCACTATCAATTTCCCCCTTAACGTTATTTTTTATTCACTTTACCCCCAAAACTAACTGTCAAACTTAACGGAGTTTGTTAATTAAAGTGAAAATACATATTTAACCCTTAAAATTATTATCACTTTATCCCCATAAACTATAGTCTCATTATCAATTTATCCCCCAGAGTTATTTTTAGGCAATTTATCCTACCATTAAATCAACTTAGCAAGTTAAAAAAATTTAGAAGAAAATACCCTCCTTTTTTAATAATAAAAATAATAAAAAATGTAGACTGACTCTTTTCCTTTTTAGTATCAAGAAAAAAAGTCAAAGTATTAATTTATTTTTTCTTGGCAATCTTATTAATATCAAAAAAGAATAGAAAGATGGAGAGGGGGAGGGGGAGGGGAAGAGGGAGAGTGCTCAATTTTTTTAAAAAATATTACAAATAAGAAAGAATTAAATATTTTTATTATTTTAAAATTATTTCACTTTTCTATTTACTAACAAATTTCAATTCTAATCTCGACAACTTTAATGTAATACGACAATGTTAGACTTTTCTTTATTTTCTTTCTTTGCAAAATTTAATTTTCTTTCTTCTTCTCTTTTATCTCTTTTTCTTTTCCTAGTATTAATAAGTGTGAAAAAATTTTGAGAAAATTCTGTTATTTTTATATTTTTTGATTTCTTAAAGCGAAAAAAAGGAAGAATAACCATTTCAATTTTTATTTTTAATTATATATAAAAAAGGTAAATATATTTAAAATTTTTTGACAATACTAGTTAGATTAATGATGAGATAAAATGTCTAAAAAATAATATTAGAAATTAAAGTAATTGTATCACTGTAATCTAAATGAATAAAGTAATAATAATAATGTAGTAATGCTATAAAATAAAAGGGTATTTTTATCCAAAATTTATTAACATGTTGAGTTGAATTACTTATGGGGTAAAGTGACTAAAAGATAACGTTAGGGTGTAAACTGATAGTTGTGATATAGTTTAAGGGGATAAAGTGATAATAACCCCTGTACTCTCAACTCTCGAGTCTCCGCTAACCACAAAAAAAAATGAAAGAAAAGAAAAGGGGGAAAGGAGAAAGCAAATTTCGAAACCCTAGCCTTCTCTCTCTAGTTGCAGAAGAAGAAAAATGGTGTACTACTTCAAAGCCAGACCTGAGGCTGGAGATTACACCATCTTCATGGGCCTTGATAATTACGAGAACGAGGAGCTCATCAAATACGGCTTCCCTGAAGACGTTTGGTAATTCTCAAACCCTAGTTTTTTTCTAATTTAGGTAGTGTATACATTGTGTGAAATTTTAGATTTTTGTTTGGATTTTGGAGTGTAAAATGGTTTTCTTGATGTTTTACGTGTTGTTTATTAGCATCTAATTTTGTATTTTGAGATTGTATTGAGTTGAGAATTTTAGTGCTCCGTTGAGTTTTTGGTTATCCCTTGAAAAAGTACGTCTCCTGAAAAATGTTGATTTAGATTAGTGGCTATTTAATTTTGTTCTTGAATTCTCGGACTTAAATTTAAAATAATTTAAATTATTTTTTACTAAATGATTGGTTAGATTTATGAGGTATTGCACCTGTGCTTGTTAGTACTTCAAGAAGGATATGTAAATGCAAAAGAAGTTCATCTAGACTATAAGAAGGCCATCTTGATACATGAGGCTCTTGTCAGTCTAGTGGTTTGAGAAAGTATTGGTGGATAGTGAAAGAAAGAAGTTCGATTTAATGGCTGAGAGGCAAACCTGAAGAAAAAGATTCTTGTTAGATTCAGTTTGAGAAATTCTGGCTTACAAAGAAAGAATCTTTACTGGGCATGTTCTGATAAAGAAAGAGCCTTTGGTGACTTTCTTTGAGATTGGAGCATCTTCTGGTAGAAGTTGTTGAATTTAGCTGCTAGAGGTGGCAAGGTGGACATACATGAGTGATAGAAATGAGTAGTAATACTTGTGAAGAAGGAAACCATTGTATTGGTCCTGTATTTAACCACTTTAATGCTTTAAGCTGTTTGTTTCTCAACAATGTCACATTCAGGACAGTGTCTATCAGCAATTATTCTGTTACAATTTTAGAATGACATAGCCATTTGTTTGAGGAAATCATGAAATTGTAGGTAAGTTGATATGTTCTTAGGTGGTAGGTGTAACTAGTAAGTGCATGAACTTCCTTTTCTTTCATAATTTTATTATACCTGTGAATCATGGTGTCATGCTATAGATTTCCCAAGGGATATATGTGTCTTTTGATGGGCAAGGAGGTTATGTGCCGTTTGTTTCAGTGCATTGTTTTTCATACCTGTTTGCCACTTATTGAAAACCCGAAGTTGCCTTGCAGGTTCCATGTGGATAAAATGCCATCCGCCCATGTCTTTCTGAGATTGCACAAGGGCCAAACATTTGATGATATACCAGAAGGTGTACTGGAAGATTGTGCACAATTAGTCAAAGCAAATTCCATTGCAGGGTAAATTCTTATTTTCCTGTTATATGCTGTTTCAAAGAGAAACTCTTTTTGTTTAATGGAATTAGTCTTCAGCTTCAAAAGCTGGTGAAATTTATTTTGCCCCGATTTTTGAGGAATAAATGAGAGTTTGTAACGTATAAAAATTTAATCGAATGGGGAGAAAATATGGACATATCTCCTTTTCTTAATCTCTTATTCATTCATAATTAGCCTGACATTGTCATGTGGCAGGAAATGAGGTGAACAATATTGATGTTGTTTATACTCCATGGCATAATCTTAAAAAAACTATCTCCATAGACGTTGGCCAAGTTGGTTTGCACAACTCAAAAATGGTGAGTCTATATTATTTTTAAATAGCTGGAGTATGATTCTCATTGTGCCTTATGCTTCAGGATATGAAGTTCCATTCTCTGTTGATGGTGGACGAAAAATTTACCTATATCTGATCTTGGTTCTGCTTTAGGTTCGTACCGTCAAAGTGGAGAAACGAATAAATGAGATAGTTAATAGATTAAACCGGACAAAGGTGGAAAGGAAACCTGATTTGAAAGGTATGACTAGCAATTCTCCTTTAAGATATGTTCTGCTACACCAAACTGTTGTTCTTGTCTATATGTTTTTCTCATTTGGTTCTTTGCTTCATGCTTTTGTTTTGTCTGTCTTCAGCTGAGCGCGAAGCAGTTAATGAGGTAGAAAGTACTGAAAGGAAAAATCAGCTGAGGGAAAAAGTAAGTTGTGTAGCTTTTTCCTTTTTCCTTTTGTTTTTTGGTGTGTTTTTTGGGGGAGGCCTGTCGGGAACAAAATATCGTGATTCACGTCATACATTACTAGGGTGATGCAGCATAAATGATAAAGGAGATAAGGACATTTTGCATCTAGTATGAGGATAAAAGATGACAGTAATTGCATTTTCAAGAGAAAGTTTATGTTCTGTTCATTTTTCTTGCTTGCTTTGTGACGGCCCCACCTCCCCCTAGGGCGTACCCCAGGGTTCGGCGAGTCGTCTGCCCAACTCTCGCCGGGACTCACTCCCTCACTACAAACCGCAAACAAATTGCAATATAAATCTCAAATATACATCAAATCATACATACCCCGAGTACCAGAAAGTAAACCCTAGAAAAGTTAATAATTATAACCACCACAACAACTATATACATCTTGCCAGTTAACTTATAACAAGTACAAGCTCACTCATCTAAAATCGAAACACTAAACACCTTCCCGAGCGATCCCCCGCGTCAGCCCCCTGCTAAGGAAAACAAATGGAATGGGGTAAGCTATATGTTTAGTGAGCAATCAGGGGGAAAAATAAAACTCACATAATTAAACAAGTAAATCAGGATATTTCACATCAATAACAGAAAAGTAACATCACAAGTGTAGGATACGGGTGGCTCCAAAGCCAGTTCAATTCCCCGAACTTGAACGCCTGTTGACACTCCGTCAACCAAGTACTCATGGTCCGTAGACTCCACTTAAACGTTCCCCGTTCACCTTATCAACCCCCACTGGCCAGCCAACAGCACACAGCAGCTCGAGCGAAATAAAATAACTTAGCTTTCGTCAAAGCTATAACAAGAAACTAAATCCCAAGTTTAGCATGGAACTATCTTCGACCAAGCCCCGGCTGGCTCGAATAGTTCGTCTAACCCTTGGAACCGGGTTGGAACCAAGCCCTGAGATATCCGATCTCTCAATAGATGGTATCTCTCAACAAGTGCACAACAAGATACTTACCCCAAACAGCACACAGCAAATGGGGTTTAATTCAAGTCACGAGATCACCCCTATCAGCACACAGCAAAAGGGTGATACTCAAGTCATGTAATTCCCCTCCTCAGCACACAGCAAGAGGGTGATACTCAACATAAAGCATGTATTCTCACATAGGAAATCAAAACAAAGGATGGGCTTAGGTCGAGTGAGATAAAGTACACCCTCGCCTATGTACCCATTTAACATGTACAAAACACTTTAACAATTTCACATCAATAACCACCCAATTACTCACTTGATACAACTTGGCACGAAAATGATACAATTCACGGAGCTTGACCGTTACCGTCAAAAGCCTCAAGATCTGTATGGGCAGATTATATACACACATGAATGAAACGGCCATACAACAGCAATTTATAACTGAAACGATCGAATACAGTTGAAAACGGTCAAAATAATCAAAACGGTTACACGATCTTGTCCATAACGGGAGCTAGGGTTATCAGATCAAAATGTACTAGATAGTGTCTCGAACCTTAGACAAAAGGTTACAACTTCCATGAAGATAACTCAATCCATTTTTCAGTGTATCCAAGTTAAATTTGCAAAATATAAAACTAAGACTCCGAAGACTAGTTTATCTTTCTCGTAAAAATTTGGCGGCATGCCCCTTGTATTTACCCATTTTCCAGCCATTTATGACTTCAATATTTTACTCAATCCAACCCAAAGTTATCCATAACACAATTCCATTTCAATAGCCATTCCATAGGCTCCAAAACAATACGAGAACAACAATTAAGCTAATATCAAGTGCGGAAACAACGTTTACAAAAAAACAGTTTTGACTGGTTTTTGCGGAACGGGCATGTCCGAGGTTACGCTTATTGGATTGAAATGCAACTTATACCATTTCGAAGCTAAGACGAAGACCTACAATTTTCATGAAGAGCACTTAGGCTAATTTTCAGTGTAACCTAATCAAATTTCCAATTCATATAACCTGGTTCCAACTATTTGGCTAATCAATCGTACTGCATTCAAATGGCCATATCTCAGTCTACCAAGGTCCATTTAAGGCGTTCTTTGTGGCATTGAAAAGCTAAGACAGGGTACTAAAACTTTCATGTTTTGGAAAATGGCTAAATCCAAACGGATTATAGTGAATAAACACAGCCAAAAAGTCTGAACTGTCCACGCGGAACACTGGAATTTAACCTAGAGCAGCGAGGGTATTTTGGTCTTTTCATGTCCTACGTTGCTCCGATTGAGTTGAAATTTTGTAGGAAACTATAAAATACCATTCTCTACAACTTTTATGCTTTATGCCAAGCCTAATTCGGCCTCTAACTATACGAACTAGAACCGGACAAAACAAGGTGAAATTTTTCCAGAAATCTGGAATTTTTGGTATTTCAAGCCAAACTTCACATTTATCTTGAATCTACCACTACCATCACCTTTGCAAGATCATATACTATATATATACATCATATAACACCTAACCCACAAGAATTATAAGCAACTAAATCAAAACCCTAGCTCAAAATACAATCCTCTAATCATCACAACCACTTGAAAATAGGTATCACTAGCTCAATTCTAAGCTTAACAACCAACTTGATTATGATTAATGGAGAAGAAAAGGGTGATCAGCCAATATACCTTAAGTCAAAGCCTTGCAAGAGTGATCCTCCACCATTTCTTGAAAGTTTTGGTTCCCTTAGCTTCCCAAGCTTCCAAACTAACAATCAATCGGTTTAGTTTTTCTTGGTTGCACTCAAATGATTCAAACTCAAGATGGATTGAAGTTGTTTCTTTTGCTCTCTCTCTCTCTCCCTCTTAAGCTTGGCCAAAACCAGAAAAGAAATGAAGGAAATGAAGCTGAAATGAAGGATAAAAGGCAAGAAAAAAATAAGCAAAGAGCCATAGGGTGGTGACACTTGGCACCACCAAAGCCATGCAAATTTCTCTCACTATCCCTTGCATTTTTGGCCACCAATTTCGGTCAAAGTTAGCTGGAAATAAGGAGATATTTTGCTCAAGTATTAATGAGCTCATGTGGTAAGAAAGTGGTGGTCAAGTGGTGCGGTCAATCGGTAGTGCACGGTACCCGTCGGTTCGCGCCGTTTTTCTTAAAAACACATGTACTAGGGTTTTTACTTCCTATTTGCTACCCTTGTATCATTGCTCCTAATCACATATTATTTCTCACTTAAAAGTCACTTTTAATCACCAAATTTGATCCTTGCTCCGTACCAAAAAAATCATCCGGCGAAAAATCGCGAAAATCCTAATTTGCTCCAATCTTGAAAACGAAAAGTGAAACCCTACTTTCTAGGTTCATTTGCACTTATTATGGGGTGCTTGAGTAGTAGGGCCATAATAAAAGAATAATTTCCAAATAAAAGGAATTTTAAGAAAAATGTGATGAATTTTACAATTCCATAGAATAAAATTAGGGTTTTGAGTCAAATATGAGGGATTTAAATATAGTCACAAGTAAACTAGGGTTTTTGATTAAAATTTTAGGGTTTCTAGTCTTTTAAAGCAAAATAAGGTTTTAAATCAAATCCAAAGAAATAACTTTAGTATCTTCCCTGAAACAAAATAATGTTTTAAAATAAAATGAACTAAAGAAACCGTGAAACAGTAGCATCTTAAAAGTTGGGGTGTCACATGCTTGCTCTACTATCTTCTGCTTTTTATCTTTATGATTAGCTGCTAAGTAGATTTGTGGTTCTTGTGTTGCATCATCTCAGTATCATGCGGGCTTAGATGTTGTTGGTCTGAAGTGGTTTTGGTGTACTTTTGAAATATTAGGCTTCAAATATTGCTCGGTACTTCAATTAGGAGAAGCAAGACTAACCCTCAATCTACAGCCGTCAAAGTTATATCCATCTCGACCCCTAATAGCATCTTCTGCATCACGGGCATTCTCAAACTATATCAAATAAGTTATCCATGTGAGTCACAAAATCCACATAAAACTGCAAGACTAGTAATGTAACCTAGTTAAACATTGAGGGTTAGTCTCATTCTTGACCATATATCCATGTATTTGTTTCCCATTCAACATGGAATCGCTTTTTTTCATCAGAAGAAATGGAACCGCATTTTTTCATCAACGAAAGCCGTGCCCATTCAACATGGAATTGCTTTTTTTCATCAGAAGAAATGTGCTACAGCTGACCGGTAATCTGCATTTGGTAATACTAGTTCAACAACTTGTATAAGCTTTCTTTAACTTTAAGAGGGTTAAAGCACTAGTGTGTGCTATAACAGAGTAGCCAGAGAGTTACAAAATGTCCACACCACATGCCAGAACATCAAGAAAAGCATTTGCAAAAAATAAGTTCAAACGTCCGTCACAATGGTACATGCAAAACAAGCAAAACAGCAACAAGGAATAAAAGCAAAATTGATGAAATGTGCTGCGGCTGATCTGGTTAAGATCCTTCATAATAGAAGTCTCTGTCGCCTTGATTTCTTTTATCATTTGTCTCCAACTTCCCAATTCGTTCCAGGATAACTTTCTCCACCCCTCCGATCCTTTCCACCAGCATGTCATCTGGTACTCCCCTGATATCCGTCACTTGGACAATTGTTAAGACATCTAAGCGCAATTTCTCCATTTTATCCTTCAGAGTGAATCTCACAGCCTTACACAACATCGAATCCACATATTTCGCGTACTCGACTCCGTAATCAACAGCTGGTTCAGCTTCCTAACAAAATCTATATATATATGATCAGTGTGATCAGCGTGAGTAAGCATGTGGCAGAAGAGAATGAGTGTTGTTTGTGGTTGGGAAAGGCTGAGATAGGCTCTGATGAGGCAGTTGTAAAGAAGTGTGTTGGTCCATCCAGAAGTGATGAGAAGGTTACCATTGGTAGAAATAGAGGCGGCAAGATAGAACAGTAACAAAAAAATTTATTATCTATTGACACGTGAATATATCCTCAAGTCTAACAATATTAACTTGACCAATATCAGGTCAAAAAAGTTAGGTATTGACCACAAATGAATCTCCTAATTGGGCCCTACTAATGGGTCACCCCCTACTCTACAAAGAAAACAAAGGGCCTTTGACCAACTGCCATTTTTTAGCATTTAATTCCTTGATAGAATCTACAAAAGTAGCCATCGTCACCTTACCGTGCTCCCCCACGTCACGCAACATTCGATTTGCATTCCTCCCAGCAATAGAAAGCATATAAAATGCCCCGCCGATTGCAGCTGCAATCAACGAAAGCTGGGCAAATAAGGACCACATGCCGGTACATCAAGAAGAGTATTTACAGCAAATAAGTTCAAACATCCGTCACAATGGTACATACAAAACAAGCAAAATAGCAATAAGGACCACAACAGAAAAATCCCAACTAAGATGACACCCCCAAAAAATTAGTGAAGTCTACTGAACTCTGAGATGTCTGAGAGGCCCATGGAAACCAAAAAAAAAAAAAGAGAGAATGAAAAATCAAAAGGAATTATCTTGAGCAAAAACAAAATCATAAGAACTATCATTCTGAGGATATTCAACTCTTCAATCTAGGATCTTAATTTTAAAGTGGTTGACATCTTAATCATCAATCCAAAAGCATTTAGAGGGCCGGGGTAAATAAATCTCTAAATGTGCAAGAGAAAATGTTTAGGCAACGAGACAATAAGGTGATTATGATCCTAGTGTCTCTTCTTGCATACTATCAATCAAAACCAAGTGAGCGGAGTGAAGAGAAGATGCCCAAGTCAGTCCAGAGAAAGAAGTAATCTAAATAACTATTTGATTTTATCTTATTAAAGGTTAATGAAGACAAAGGATGCAGAAAGAAGCACAGCCTAGTATTCCAGTCAAAGTATTACATGATAATTTCACACACCACGAGGTATTTACCTCTTTCAATTTATATATATAAATTTCTCTAGTCAACCTAACTTCTAAACGCGCAGAGTTTATGTAGAAACGTAAACGTGAAAAGCAAGAAGAATAAGGATGGAGGCTGGAAGGAAAACTTTGTATTACTTAAGGCTTCAAAAGTTTCCCAAAGTTGGTTTATAAAAGAGGGTGTTTGGCCTATTTATAAGCAAGCCAAGAATCCTTTACATGATTCTAAAAAATTTTACCAAATAAACTATCCAACTTGCTTATCTAAAACGTTCCCTTATTCTATGTTACACAAGTGGGAACCTATAAAAGGTTCCATATCTTTTTAGTCATAAACCCCTTATGTACAAAAACTCTCGAACAATTTAAAGTGTTCCGAAAGCTTCTAAATCATGTTACACACTTCCAACAATATTTGGAGAAACTTCCATGCCTTGGTCAAGCCTTCATGGCTGACCACTTGTTTGGAGGATTAGGATGTGAGTCTACAATCAGTTCTAAATTTTTTTTACCTGAACGCTATGTACAGTGGGCATGACTTGACCGACTAGGCACAGTCGTGCGCGATCTCGTGCATGAACAAACAGGGTCGCGTGCAGACTGAATGTGATGCATGTCAATAAACTGGCTGTTCCATTAATTCCATCGTCCAAAATGATGATTGTAATTTGTTGGTCCTAAGTCGATTTTTTTTATCTTTATTTTTCTTTACAAAATTAATAATTTTTTAGTATATCTAAACAACAAAAAAGAAAAGATGACAAAAAAAAAGATAGGATGATGGTTGTGAATTTTTGCTAACATGCATTAAGCTTGAGCGAGTAGTAGTGACAAGATTATTTTTTAAAGTTCGGTTTCATTGTTGGTAGATTCATTAAAGTGGGTGAGTTTTCTTATGAAAGGGAAGCCGAAACCCTGATGGGTCTCATTCTCTCGTCATTTTGATGATTCGCTGAAAATGGGCTGGGAAGGTAAAATAAATAAATAAACCCAAAAAATTATAAAAAAGAGAAAAAAAGAGTAGAATAATTATATATATATATATATATATATATATATATATATATAAAGCTACATATGTTGGCATAATTAATTTTCCAAGCCAGATGTATATCATGCAACTATAACTCGCGACTGTAATCAATCATTAACTAATTGTTTGACAAATGAAAAGATTTGCAAAAGTGATTGAATTTTGGGCTTTTTTTTTATAAACCCTTAACTTGTACAATTTTTTCATAGTACTATAACAAAGTAAAGTCAAATATTCCATTGCAAAAGGAAAAGAAAAGGTCATACACTCTTATCTTATATTTATTTTAATTTTTTTAAAATGACTACTATACAGGTTGACAATCAGTCCTTAGGCCTCAACCAACAAGGTAATTTTAACTTGTGGTCACCATTTACCTTGCTGAGAAAAAAGAGGGGTTGAATTAGCAGACTTTCACACACTTTTCCTCATTGGAACGGCAAAGAAGGCTGTAGCAGCCATACATTATAGCAACACTGAAGCCAACAAACAGAGCAACGGAAGAATAAACAAGTAAACGGCGTTTCCACCGGCTAAACAAGCCCGGCTTTGGCCTAAAACTCTGATTATTCCCTTGTTTAGCGACTCGAGAACCACCCTGCAGTTGATCGAACGGAGTTCCAGGCAATACCTGATTGAGTTGAGCCCTTTTGATCCTGTACAACTTGATGAAAGCAAGGTCCAAGGTGTCCTGATCGAGCTCTTCTTTTGACTTGACAATTTTGTACATGGCGCTGACAAAGGTGAACAAGTTTTGGACGGCAACAAGAAGTGAGAGGGTCAATGGAAGCCACCAGTGATGACACCTGAGAGATGAGGCAGAGGTGATTGACGCAAGAATCACTGCTTGGAATATGAAATATAGGTTGACATTTTGGGCTGCTCTTGCTTCCAGCTTTCGAATATTTTGCTCCGTTTTCTTGTTTGATTCATCTAATTGGTCTATCTCTCTTTGGATTGGATCCTCAGGAATATCGTTCACCATCTCTCCATCCATTGCAATTCCTTCAATCTTTCTCTATCAACATGGATGAAAGTCCTATGCTCTCAATTCTTAATTTATGATTTTGCTGAGCACGTAAATATGCTGATCATCTCAAATTGAAATGTCCCCCGTGCATCCTGTATGTCGGACAATTTATTCTGACTTTTCCGAAGACGAATGTTATATGCATTTCGCAAGACCAAGAGGAAAACACGTGTAAGAAAGAAAACCACCTAATATGCTCCTAATCCTTGAAAAATCATCAAGCCAATATGCTGACTTCCTTATCCCTTGGTACAGTTGGCCAATATGCTTTTGTCAATTTGTTCAAGATGAGGTCTCTTACTCAGTTTAGATTCTCTTTTTGTCTCAGACAACCAAAATTCTTTTCGGCTTCAAATTCAATGGTGGAACCAACGCATCGGGTAACAATTGGATCTTCTCCAATTTTGGTTTGAGCCATGAGACTGAAGATATCGTTCACAACTTGAAGGGTTAACATGATTGAGTTCAATTGCATGCCACGTTCTTAAAAATGAATGAATAAAGGGAGCAGAACATAATTGAACCAGCAACTAGAATCACGAAGTAACATTGGGCTGGGGAGAAGCAACTAAATTACAAAAAGAATCTGTTTGCTTGAATTCTTCTCTTTTTACTCTGCATAAGCATTTTCCCTGATTTTTCCCATTATTATGGCTGACACCAAAAGTAAAATGATCACCAATTTGAGTTGTATCACCAAAAAGAGTAGTGACTCCATTCATTAAGAGCAAGAAAGAATAACAGAACTTGATATCAACTAATTAAGCTCTTCCTTAACTAAGTTTGACATGCGGCAAGGAGCTGCAGCAATTTTAAACTCATCCAAGGGAAAATTGCAAAGCTCAAACTGAAAACAGCGATAGTGTGCCTGAGTTTTCTGTGAAACAGCACATTTGTAGGGCTAAAGCTTGAGTATAGGCTGAAGAGCACAACCGTAAAGAAGCTGACCCAATCGATATGAATTTATATGCACTGACGACCACCCCCCCACAATTGAAAACCCTCGCTTGATTTTGTCAAGTTTTGAACATGAAAAAGCAACAGGGTATGTATTGGAGGAAGTCTAGGTTTCCCTGAGGCACGCACAATAGCGATGCATCAGTGCATATATCATTATTTGCAGAGTAAATTCCTAACGAAGGTGATATCATAAGTAGGAACTAACCAGTAAAGAACATTATTATCAACTAAATAAGAGTCAGACCCACCTACTTGAGACGATGTTCAAGATCTTCATGACTTGTCTAGTACCTCCAATTATTGCACAAAGCTTCACTGTGGATATAAATGAATTTCTTCTGCCTCTTGCAGATTCAATCTAAAAAAATACAGTCAAGAAGTTTGTCTTCATTAAACATGAAAAAGTGGGAATGATGAATAGAAAACCTTCTGCATTTGATAAACTAGTATCAAAGAGAGCACCTGATTAAGACTGGAGTTACAGCTTAAAAGCTGACACTGTACTTTCATTTCTGACCCTTGAGCACCCCCGCAGTTTTGAGCAAAAGTTGAGCCAAGCAAATGCATTACAACCAGCATTAGACAGACACTGACATTAGGGAAAGACGGCAAACCAAAACTTTACGACCCTTCAGGCTTCATCTCTTTCATCCACATGATAGTACAGTAAAACCTTAGCCACTACAAGACCACAATAAGTTTTGCCTATAAGGCTAAACACTAACAGAATCAGTATAGAGATGCCCATCTATGTCAGGGACAAAACCCTTCTCCATCATTTCCTCCCTAATAATTTCATATGTCATCCTATTTGGGACCAATCCTTTCTCCAACATCTCATTAAGATAGGAATTTGCTTCCTCCAACTTACCTTTCTGGCAGAATCCCTTAATCAACACATTGTATGATACCACATTAGGATGCTTACCTTCCTTTTCCATTCGTCTCCTCACTACCAAAGCTGCAGTAGGATTTCCTTCTCGACAATAGCCAGCCATCAAAGTATTATAAGTAATATGACTAGGAATTAGGCCCTTCTCAAAGATCTCATCTAGAAGTCTAACTGCTTTTCTAGATTCTCCTCTCTTGCATAGTTCATCTATACGTATGTTGTAGGTGACAAGATCAGTTCTCAAACCCTTCTCCTCCATTTCCTCCAAAAGCTTGTTAGCTGCTCCTAAGTTACCCTCTTGAAAATAACCACCGATAAGGGAATTGTATGTGGCAACACTAGGGCACACCTTTTGAGTCAACATTAATTGATGAAGTGCTATAGCTTTATCCATGTTTCCAGCTTCACAATAAGCATCAATTAATGTATTAAAAGTCAATGCATTGACTTCGACGCCTTTCTTCACAATATCATCAAACATCTCTTTAGCTTCCTCTAGCATTTTATTCTTACAAAATCCATTTAGGATTACATTATAAGTCCTTATATTTGGCTCAAAACCTAATCCAACCATTTCATCTCGCAGACCAAGAGCTTCATCAATTTTCCCTTCACCACAAAGACCATTAATCAACGAATTATAAGTTGATATGCTTGGTGTTATCTGTTGCTCTTTCATCTCTTTAAAAAGCTTTAATGCAGCAACCACATTATCAGCCTTACAGAACCCATCAATCAGCACATTATATGTAATTTTGTTTGGGAATACGCCCTTCTCCACCATCTCCTTCAAAAGTGCGTCAGCTTTATACATTTTACCAGCCCCACCTTTCTTACAAAATCCATCAATCAAAGTATTATAAGTAACCACATTAGGCATAATCCCCAGAACCTTCATATCCTCCACGACATCACCTGCCTTATTCAACTTTCCAGCCTTACAAAAACCATTGATCACCACATTAAAAGTAATCAAATTAACATCAACTCTCCTCTTAGTTATCTGCCTAAACACAAACTCCATGGTTCCAACTTTTCCATTCTTCACCAACTCTCCTAACATTGGATTACACGAAATCACAGATAACTTAAACCCGTAATCTCCAGCCCTCCTAAACCCATCTACAGCTAAATCCAATTTTTTATTATTCACTAAAGCTAGTATCAGCATATCAGTAATAATAGAATTAGCACAAAAATCATCACTACAAGTCACTAGTGTGTGAAAAAACGAAGAAACCGAAAAAGGTGGTGTTTTTTTAACAGAAAAATGCAATAAAGATCGGATTTTTGCGTATTTTTTATCATTTGCTAGTAAAGCTATTAACTTGCATAAATGTTGTAAAGAATGGGAAACCTGGAAACCATGTTGGGACCATCTAAAGAAGGTGAGAATGGAATGTGAAGGGAAGTTGTGGTCGAATAATTGTTGGAGAAAATTGGATGGAGTTGTGGGTTTTAGCAGGGGTTTAAGCTCTGACCAGTGTTGGTTTGTGATGAGTTCTACAATTTTGGATTTGAATGACGGGTCAGACAGGGGGAGAGAAGGGTGTGTTGGGGTTTGACAGGTGTGGCAGCCGTGGACGGATTGAGGAAGTTTGAGGCGGAGGAGTGGTGGTGCAGCAAGGCGGGGATGGCGGAGCCGATTCATTTGGTGGGCTGAAAAAGGGCTGTGAAATCTGGAAAGCAAAAGAAACAAGGCTGAAACGAAGCATGTGAATGAATGGCCATTTAAATAGGGCAGTCAATGGTGATGAGCTAGCCCGAACTTGGCCCGTAAAAAGCCCAATAAGTCTTACTACGTAATTTGGGTTTAAATAATAAGTTTAAATCAAATATGAATCGACTTTGAGTCTCATTTAAGCTCAAATTTGATTAAAATTTGGCTCATTCATATGTATAATTATATATATAATTACATATTAAATGATATATAATATATATAATTCTACATATTATAACATTAAAATATTAATAATTTATAAATATTAATATACTATTTATAATTATGTACTTATTTAATTATGAGTTTAGATCGATCCCAATATGAGTACGAAAACTCATTTAAATGATGAGTCAAATTTGACCTTTCTGATCTAAATTTGAATTCGAAAGCCCAAAATTGCATTTATTTTTTGAATCGAGTTGGAACTTGCTAAAGTCATGCTCATGGAACTAGATTAATACCCCTATTTAATGTGAGATTCAAATTGATTTCGGGTTTTGATCATGTACATGTGAAATTGTCTTTCGTTCTTTCCTTTTTTAAGCATTTCAAGGAATTGATTGTTTTTAGGCTTCTTTGTAGATTTTTTAAGGAACCCTTTTAAAATACTTCATTTTAGTGGCTATGAAATGATATGTTGTATTATTGTGAAGTGTACACAATCTAATGAAAAAATCTCTTTGTCAATATAAAACCAATTAATTATATGTGTTTGGATAGCAAATTATTACACAAATTTATCTGCGTACATTTTTCAATTATCTTTTTATCTCACATGCATCATATAAAAAAAATGTGCTATAGTATTATTTTTAAAAAATTATCCAAAATAATCTCCTATCCCAACACACAAATAATTTAAAGGCAAATCTGCTCCAATATTTCAATCTATGAATTTATATAGAAAAAGAAAATGCCAAATATTTCCCTCTTAAAAATGTTTTGTCTGTAATTTTTTTTTTTAAAAAAAGAATTCATATACTTGTGGTTGTGGGTCAACAACTAGAAAACCTTAACATGCCGCTAATTCCTTAAAATATACGTATAAAAAAAAATTATCCGTCAAATGCACGTCTGACTGAGGGGCTTTCTTATTTTATACGGGCCGTGCTGACTCAGCACGGTCGAATCACAAAAAAAATCTACCCGGTCAACATCCAATTTGGGCTGAGCATTTGTGTCAGCGGACGTGCTGACTGGGCACGTCCGCACCTGACACAAACAGATGCAAAAATGTTGTCTCGAAAAAATAATTATCCGAATTGGTTGTATTATTATGTATGTCAATCACAATCACAAAGTGCTTATAATAATTAATTCATGTTTATTAGAATACATGAATCGTTCGTTAATTAACAACTATTATGCATTTAATAATGATTTAATAATAATACATGTGGAAAAGGCATCTAGGGACATGAATCATGAGGTTAGGTTAATGTATTTATTTTAAATATTAATGAAATGAAGTATATTTAGGATTATGGTTAAAATTTAGTTTAATCAGGTTAATTTGAAAATTAAAGTACCAAATTTTAAGGTACCAAATTAAAGTACCCTAACTCTAAAAATCCTAAAGCCTAAAACTTTTTTTTTTTTAAATGTTGTCCGAGAGACCTTTGTGTCAGCAGAGAGACGTGCTGACTGGGCACGTCCGCTGACACAAAAGCTCAGCCCAAATTGGATGTTAATCGGGTAGATTTTTTTTGTGATTCGCCGTGCTAAGTCAGCACGGTCCGTATAGAATAAGAAAGCCCCTCAATCAGACGTGCATTTGACGGATAATTTTTTTTTATACGTATATTTTAAGGAATTAGCCTAACATGCCTGCCGAGGGATGCATCGAGATTTTAACGTTAGACCTTAACTGCTGCATTTTGCTGGGGTCAACAGGCCAGCAGGGGGAACGTTCAAATACGCCTGCACTAACTGAAATTACAAAACTAACCTCCTTGGACCCTAAAATATCCCCCTTTTTTTTGGGATGCAATTCTCATAGCTAGGATTAGCAATGAATAATAAATTTGTTTGGGTTTGAAATTCTCATAGCTAGAAATGAATGAATAATAAAAACGCAGACAATATACAATAAATCTCATTGTTAGACACAAAGGTTAACCTCTGAATAAAGAGCTAATTGTTTTAAACTCTCGAGAGTAAATTTTTTTCTTTCTTTCTCTGACCCATCCATTAGTGCTATAAAATATATGAGCATCAAGTATAAGTACTTCCTAACATTCTATTCTTTTATATCATTCTCATTATTTTCGAGTCGAAATTCAAACTTTTTTTTTTTTGATGAGGAGGACAAGCAATAATTTATTTTTAAAAATATCATAATAATTGCAAACGAGAAAATTCATTCTTTTTCATCCTCTTGAAATAGTACCTAAGAATGCTTGTATCCAGATGGAGTCTCCAAAATACATATTAGAAGTTTAAAACGCTTTACTTCTATGTCAAATTTAATCATTAAATTGTATAAACAACTATTTTATTTATTGACCATCCAAAAATTGTATAAAAATAATTCAAGGAGATGTCATCCAAATTCTAAAGATTACTAAAGGAGTCTACCTTGTTTGGGTTGCCATTTTTTATCAAAAAAATTTTACATTTTTTTTGAACTAATTTCTCAATTATCTTTTCGTTTCACATGCATCAAATTTAGTACAATACATTTTTCTATAAAAATTTCAAAAATAGCAATCCAAACGTGTATGTGACCGGATAATTTCTTTTTGCAGGGAGAATATTTTTTTTTCACACACCCACACCCAAAAAAAAAAAAAAGTGTGATATATCAGGAATTAAATGACCAAGAGTGGCAATTTCGCCAATCAATATAAGCTCAAGGGTTTAAGCAGGGCTTAATTCCTGCAGGAAAATGAAAATGTCATAGTACAATTCTGCGCCCTTTCTCCACCCTTCTCCTTCTTCAAGCATCCAAGGACTTCCACCAATGGCGGTTCAATCCAATCCAATTCCATCTATTTATTAAACTGAAATCACCAAAAGAAATAAAAGAAAGGAAAAACCCACATTTTCCCCTAAGTTAACGACCTCTGCTCCTGAAAATGTTGAAGGCCGTAGCGTCAACATGTTTACAGTCCCGTTTCCATGTGGCAACGACGGCGTTTTACCCCTACCTCCGCCATGCTTCCGAGTCGAACTCCCCATTGCTCAGAGTTCTGGACTCACTTAAGGGGCCCAATTACTCAAATAGAAGAGGCCCATATTTTTTCCGGCGATTCTTCTGCTCAGACTCCAGTGAAGATTCTGCCGAATCCGGGGCTGAAGCTAGACGGGTTGAAACGGATGGAGAAGATGCTGATTCTAAGTCCACTGCATCAATTGTACCCACTGTCTTCAAACCTGAAGATTGCCTAACGGTATAATTATTGAGATTTTTTTTTTTTTTTTTGTTGTGGTAATTGCCTTTGCCCATTTGAATTTTGCTTATATCTTTGGTTTTTTGGGAGGTGATTAATAGTTTTTGCCGTTTTGAAATTAATGTGAAGTGGGGTGGAAAAAGTTCGTCACTTTTCCTTGGTAGACATGTTTTAGTGGTTGTTTGCATTAACTGTTTTTGCTTTCTGAAATTTACTAATTGTAGCATTTGAGCATAAATTAAATATTCATTCGCTAGTCAAACAGCTAAAACTGTTATTGTAATCTAATATTTTTGGCATGATAATTTCCCTAATCACAACGTTGAATGAATAAAGAGTTGAAGGAACTGGGAAATAATGCTCGTGAGGAGAGTTAGCTGTAGCTGAAAACGTATATTGTGAAATGATAAAATATATTTTACATGTAACTCCTAGTCTTAGGTTAAAAACCTGTTGCTTTCATCAAATTGTGTGGGCAAATATAGGATTCTAGTGCAGGATGCAAAGGTGATCGTCTGGTTCCACTTTAAAATAAATTCAGTTGCATTCTTGGTTCCAACTTGAATCACGAAAATATGGCAACCATCAGTTGTGTGGCCCTAAGTACCATTTTTCTGGAGTTGCACTGTGATTGATAAATTTAGAATGCAAAAATTCCTTGATGTGGATCTTTGACTCTTATATGGGAATTCAAACATATGGATATGAAATAAAGTTATTAGATTTGATGGTGAAGAAACTTACTTGTGTTTTACTAGTAAAGCTCTGATCGATGATTGGTGGATTGCAGGCTTTAAATCATTATTTTCATAGTACGGAACATACTTCAACCCATAGATATTATAGTTTATAGCCATCAGAAATCAAGCTGGCTATGTAGCACTCTAACATTCATTACTGATGAGCTGTGGCACAGCCTCGTAGCGTCTCAATCTGACTAAAGAAATTAAGCTTCAGAGTGAGGCATTGGTGACCCATGATTTCATTTTTTTTACATGGAAAATAAGCAAAATTAAGGTGTAAGATAACCCTAATACGCAAAAATATGAGCAATTCTTATTTACAAACACTAGACCTTGCATTAGTGGTTGTAGATTGTGGTAATTTTGTGCATCAGAAGCTAGATATAGTTGTGAAGAGGGTAGGGTAAGAAATTTGATCAAGACAACTATCCTTGTAGAGCCCATACCTGCACTTCTCCTTCCTTTTCTCAATAGTTTAGTTTGACTGAAATTTTCTCGATGTTTTTCACTTACTGATTGAGACTGTTTTACTTCTGACGTTTGCTTATAGATTCCAATTTATATTTCTTCTTTTTTATACATAGCGGTAATGAATTTGTATTTTTGTGCAGGTTCTAGCACTCCCATTGCCTCATAGGCCATTATTTCCTGGATTTTATATGCCAATTTATGTAAAGGTATGGATGATTAGTTCAAGATTCTTTCACTAAAGCTAATCTTTTTCTTTTCCAGCATTATCCTTGATGATATGATTGTGGAGACCTGAGAGTTTTAAATATGATGCTTTTTAGAATGATCACAATGACTTGCTATATTTTCTCTATTGTAAAACTATA